CAAGGCCAGACAGAGGCTGGTGGGATGAGCAAGGGAGACCCTCAGTTTGGGGCTAGCTATGGGTTGGCACCACTTTAGATCCTCTTGGAGCCTGCAGTTTCCTCATCGGCCAAGGGACCATTATCCTCCCCACCCCCTATCGCTGGGGGCTGTTGGGAAGATCAGATCAGTTAATGTTCATACTGTAACATACTGCAAATGTTCAGAGCTGTAGGCCCTCTCACTGCTCTTCTTTAGAAGAAAAACAGAGAAGAGCTATGGTCTGCAGGATGCTCCCCGAATTTCCTTACCGTGTCTGGAACTGGGGAGGTGAAACTGAAAAGTAAATCCTGGTGCTGATGTGAACAGTTTATCAAAGGCATCCCAAGCAGCAGTGACGAAAAAAGACTCTTTAGCTGTGATTTTGCATACTGGTGGATGTAGAGTGTTAGGAGGGGGGGGTTAGACATGGTGGAACCTGTGGGGTTAGGGCTGCCCTGGGGCCAGGACTGCCTCCCCCATCCCCATCTCACTTTCTGGCATGAGCCCCCGCTTCCTATGGTGTTGTTGGATGCAGAAGGAGTGTGACACAGAGGGCCACCCAGAGAAGTGGCTACCAACCTCTGCACAGTTTTTCTGTTAACGGTGAGGTCTAGAAAGGATAGAACTTAAAACAAAGCAAAACAAAACAACAACAACAACAACAAGCCAAAACAAAGCAAATGCAGAAGAGAAACAGAGAGGTACCTGGGTGACTCAGTCGGTTAAGCGTCTGCCTTCGGCTCAGGTCATGATCCCAGGGTTCCGGGGATTGAGTCCGGAGTCGGGCTCCCTACTCAGCTGGGAGGAGCTTCTCCCTCTCCTTCTGCCCCTCCCTCCTGCTTGTGTGCGCTCTCTCTCTCTCAAATAAATAAAATCTTAAGAAAAAAAAAGAAGAAGAGAAACAGAGAAACAAACATCACTTCAAAAGTAAAGGCCTTGAATTTTATTGACTCTTATCAATCAGATGGACATATCAGGTTTCCCAGGCTCTCACCTACACCACGGCTCTCCCTCTCTTGTACCTGTGTAACTCTGCACCAGGCTGGGAAGATGCGCAGGTGAACCCAAGAGCTCCTCTTCGTTCTCCGTTTCACATTCTATCACGTCAGCACAGGCCCTGAGCGGGCTACTCAGCTTCATTTACAGCCTGAAACCGCTCCTCCTCCTCTGTGTCTGGTCCTCACGTTTATAACCCACAGGCCCGCAAAGGTGTCCATGACACACTTTCTGCCATCTACCACGTTATTTGTCCTTGTGGCAGACATGGGCTTTTCAAAGTTCTTGTTTACAATTCCTCATTCACAGAAAAGAAAGTCCAGGACAAGAAAGTTCAAGTGAGCAGTTTGAGATTCAACAGCTGGAGTCCGTCAGGGGCTGGGCAGGACCAGGAGTCAGAAGTTTTGGTACTTGTTTCCGAGATTTTTTTTCATCATCATCATTAGATAATATTTAAGTAACAGAGAAATACTAAGAAGGAAATCTCGGGGCGCCTGGGTGGCTCCGTCGGTTAAGCATCTACGTTTGGCTCAGGTCATGATCTCAGGGTCCTGGCATCGAGTCCTGGGTTGGGCTCCCTGCTCAGTGGGGAATCTGCTTCCCCCTCTCCCTTTGCCCCCCCCCACCTCGCTCGTGCTCTCTCGCACTCTCAAATAAATAAATAAAATCTTTTTTTTTTTTTAAAGATTTTATTTATTTATTTGACAGAGAGAGACACAGCGAGAGAGGGAACACAAGCAGGGGGAGTGGGAGAGGGAGAAGCAGGCTCCCTGCAAAGCAGGGGGGAGCCCGATGTGGGACTCGATCCCAGGACCCTGGGATCATGACCTGAGCCGAAGGCAGACGCTTAACGACTGAGCCACCCAGGCGCCCCCCTTTTTTTTTTTTTTTAAAGAAGAAAATCTTATTAGCGATTATTCCCACCACCCAGAAGTGAGCACTCGGGAGCACTCTGGCTATGGACTTCCAGCCTCCCACAGCACCCATGTCCTTTTTAAAAATTACACAGTGTGCACATTCATGTAATTCAGAAATGTATATAAGAACATTATAGATAAATGTTCTTGACACCCTCACATCTGGACTCATTCATCACCCCAAAGGTTACCTTTATGAATTTGGCAGATATCTTTCCAAATTTAGTACTGTTTTGTTACATATATATCTTTATTCCTATGTTATACCCATCAGTCATCTTGTTTCTGAGATCTATCCATACTTTTATAACTGATCCATTTTTCACAGCTATATAGTATTCTGTTGTGTCACTAATTTATTCACCCCACTTTTGATGAACATTGAAGTTCTTTCCAATGTCTTACTGTGACAAACACTGCAATGATGAGTGTCTTGGTACCTTTCTGTCAGTGCTTATGTGGAAATGCTTCTCTAGGATTGAATCCTAGCAGTTGTTGGGTGACAAGTCATTCACATTTTCAATTTTAACAACCACTGCTAAACTGCTTTCCAAAGAGCCTGCTCCAACTGATGCATCCAAAAATCTGTCCATAATCCTGCAAAAATTCTTGTTGTTGTCAGACTTGCCCAAGTATAATTTTCAAAAGTTAAATGTGACTGTCAAATGTTTCTACAAATATGGCATGAACATGTGTCAGAAATTTTATTCCCCTCATTAATTAATGTGAAAATTTGTAAGATGACAAAGCTGACTCAACGACCATTTGGTGAAAAAGGTTTATATCATCCTTAAAATATATTAAAATAAGATTGCTAGACTAGATATAAAAATGGTTAATGTCCTACAGGGCAATAAATGATAAACTGTGAAGTTATCTCTGGGGCAAAAATTATTTGCATCTCCATGAAGCACAAATCTACATATATAACCCTACAGAGTCTTACCCTTTCATTAATAGTAAATAGCAACATCAAACAATGGTACATTCTCCTAGAAAATTAAGTAATCCTTGGGCTTTAAAACAATGCCCGGTAACTTTGAAAGGACATACATTGAGAGGGGGTGACCAGCCTCTTGGCCTTCTTTTCAGATTTGGGATAATTTTTCTTAATAGATTTTTAGAAATCTGTATCAATGCAATGGATGAAAAATAGTTCATTGTGTTTTAACCTGAATTTCTGTAATTATTCGTGGCTTTGGGGCAGTTGTTATTTCTACTTGGGCATCTGGTTTTCTCTCCTTCTGGGTCTCTCCACTGATAGCAAAATACTTTCTTCTCTTTGGTGACCAGGAATGCCTGGCACAGACTGAGGGGCAGTTTTACAAAGTTAGGTCTCCTTGGCAACGGGGGACCCCAGACCTGACTGTTCCTAGGAAAGATTTTACAGAATGTGTAAAAGCACCTTAATTCTGGCCTTTAAAGTCCTAGTGATGGCTGTTGAGCCCAGTGGCCGGGAGAGCTAAAGGGTGTGTGTCCTGGGAGGGTGGCTGTGAGGGAGGCCTCAATGGGGCTTTGTTGAGGAAGGTGGAACGCAGCCCTGCGTGGCTCCTTGAGCCTCTGCCCTCAGGCCCCTGGGTGCACAGGGCAGACTCCCACGGTCAGCCTATCAGTCGCACCACACTTACTGACTGCCACCACGGTGGGGACAGGGCATGCCAAATTGCCGAAAAGTCCTTCTTCTCCCAGTTTACACAGCAAACGGGGACCAAGACTAGCACAGGGAGATAAAGATAAACCTAGATGGTGAACCGTGAAGATAGAATACCTCAAGTCGCTGGAGCAGTCTGAATAAAACCTGGTGGCGGTGATGGGAAGCGGAGGGGGGGGGAATGGGGGGAGGTAGGAAGGGGGTCATATCTCGGGCTGGATTGAGTCAAGTGACCAGCAACCTGCCCTCAACCTCTAACGTTTCTGTGCCCTAGGTGGGCTCTCTGTGCTTTCTAGAACTCTGCAAGGCGCTGAAGGGGGCCTAGCCCTGGCTCTCCCACCCCTGCCTAGGGCGATGTGAGGTCACAGGAGACACTTCTGGAACTTCCAATTCTTAAATTATCGCTTGAAATTATCTTCCAATTAGGAACAGCCTAAAAAATAGGCTGTGAATCACGGCTGCTATAAATCCCAGTTTCCAAGGTGGGCAGTTTCCCCAGTTCGACTTCCGAAATCCCAGACTCACAAAGGGCCCCAGCTCACTCCGGGGGGGCTCTTTCCCACCAAGATTTGTCCCACTTCCTGGCAGGGGGAGGGGGGAGGGGGAATCCCCTCTCCTATTGGAGGGCCACCGCTTGTTTGGCTGGCCAAGTCCTAATGGACGCCCGTTCCCTGTGTGTCCCGCCGCGTCCCGGTCTGTCTGCAGCGGGTGTCCGGGCTGTGTGTGGCACGACTGGAATGCGCGGGGG